ATTTTCAGAAATTCTCTGAAAAATATACTCAGAACTGAGTAAAATGGTGGAGTAAAACAAGAATTAAGGTAGATTTTCAAACTTTTCAAAATGATAAATTAGTAGTTGCTTATCAATCAGTTAGGATATCATGATATGTTTCCTTGTTTTTTTTTTAAATCTAGAACAGGTTTTGAAACTTGGTATGGTATTTACATACTGCGACTTCACATTTTCAAATATTTTTATGGGTACTTGTCTTAAAGGGAATATGAGAAATCACAAAAATACTTCTATAAACATCGTCGTTTATAAACTTTTTTAACTGAATAATATTAAACAATATTTTATCAAGAATAATTTCTTTTTTTTAATTCAATTAACATAAAAGATAAGTCCACCATTAAAAAAAATAGTTAAATGAACTCTATTATTTTTAGTCAATTATTCACCCTATATTTGTAAATATTTCTTAGAAGTCTTTGTCACAATGTTTTCAATCTTCAATATGCTGAAGAACAGCCAAATTATTACAAAAAAAGATTAAAATATATACCTTTCCCTCTCTAACTAATGAAAAATAGGCTATATACCGATACTCATATTCTTGACCTTTTTGCACTTACACGGGATTTAATAATTAAATGACTGTTTGGGGTTACTTTCAGATTAAATATTTACTTTAAAAAATCATATTTAATAGATAAATTGTAATTAAATACCAAGAATATGAATAGGTAACAAATAATTGTTAAAAGGAATGCACATCATTTCATTATAGATATCACAAAAACGTACACACGATCAAACGATCTACAACACGTTCATCTTTGACTTAGACACATTTCATCAAGATATTACACTATATAGCTGGCAACTAAAGATTTCTTACGATTTATGCATTCCTTCAAAATGGTTACATACCATTCAAATTATTACGAAAGTTGTATGTACATTGTAATTTCATTACACTAGATAGTCTTGGGTTTGTCAACTTCAGGTCTAGATCTAGTAAATAAAAGGTGCCTACATATTTTCTCTTATTCCAGAAATATATTGCCATTAAGCATTATAAACCAAAAAATATGTGAATTGAATTAAGATTATGTTGGCATGATTGAATTCTGTGAATTTCAAAATGCAGTATTTTCTACCATTTTTATTGAAGCTGTCAAGTACGGGAAAAAGTGGCATTGAATTAATTATGACGTCTTAATGGGTTAGCACAGATTTAACGCATTTACCAGTTATGATGTCATACGAAGTAGGTTCTACGTTAAAAGAAATGTAATGAATACTGTGTGCTAAATCAAAAGTTTATGTCTACATGTATAGTTTTTGCATTAGAATTACTGTGTATTTTACACTAGACTATAGCTTTAAAGAGCATATTTTTTAGGTCTTATACTTACCCCACCCCCTTTCTTATTTAGGAGGAAGTCGATCTTGAACAAAAGCAAAAAAAAAAAAAAAAAAAACACCCTACCTTTATTTTCTATAAGAAGGAATTAGAAATAAGCTAAAAATAATCTACTATTCTACTAATTTTTAACTGTTACTTTGCCACAATACTTTCAAGTATACATCCACCAACATTTAAAATATGCTTTAATCATGGCGAAGTAAATTATGATATGATAGTACTTGTGTGAAGGCTTTACTTCATTTCAATATTTTATCTAGAGCCTCTTTCAGTATTATTGAAAGGTATAGAGTTTTATTTATATTTTTGCTTTTCATTTATTATTAATTATTATTGTTTTTTTTATTTAACGTAATGTTCTTTTTTTTGGGGGAGGGGGGGGGGATAAAAATCTCCTCCTCTTTCATTGTCAAATACGATTTGCCAAACTTAAACAAACTAAAAGTTGAAATGACGGAAAATTTAATTTTTCCTATTAAAGAGTATTTAAACCTGATTTTTGCATGGTTTTATTTCTAAAAACAAGTGGAATATCATTCTTTAAGCAAACATTATAAGGAGGAATATTAAAAAGAAATTTTATTTACTTGACAATTAAAGAATCTCTTTTCAAACACAATTTTAGCATCGAAAGACTACGTGAATCTCTTAATTATTTCATACGACTTTTTTTATTTTTCTGGTTACAGAAAATGTAAAAAATAGTTTCGCTGTAAAAAAGATATCAAAGAATGTATATTTTGTATCACTTTAAAGGGGGTCATTTTTCAATGGGGGTCATTATTTTATAGGACTAACATATAAAATAATGACCCCCTAGGACCCTTTATCTACAAAAAGTGATTTTTTTCTACGGGTGGGGGTCATTTTTTGTCGTTGAAAAATGACCCCCCGGTCATTATTCGATGGGGGTCATTATTCGTCTTTACACCGGCGACTTGTTTCGTTAGATATGCTGAAGGAAATTGATCACATTTTATTTTGTTTCCTTCTCTGTAATTTTGTTTACTAAGTAAATTTTTTTACATAGCTATCAATGCACTCGTTCTGAATGTCGATATCGATTATAGATTTTTATCTACAAAAACAAAGCTTATTTAATATGTCATCAATTTAATTCTACATCTGGTCGTCTTTTTCTTATTTTATTCATAACATGATGTGATTGGTGCATGTTTTCCAGCCTCAGAAAATAAAAGGTATTCTTTTCATTTTCATATATCCATTTATCCCTCGATCATATTTATACAACTTTAAAATTTATATTCATATAGAGTAGTTTGTCTAATTTCGACCTCTTTTTGTTTTTGTTTTTGTGTTTTTTGTTTTTTTTTTTTGTAAATCATGTTGATTTGTGTATATTGATTGTTTTCCTTCCTCTCAATACCTTTCTGAATACTTTTTTTTCTACTCAAAGATTAATTGTCCTGGGTACAGAATTGAATGCCTACATTTTTTATGTGATGTTTGATTAATTGTCATTTCGTGTAGGCGTTATACTCACATTATTTCTTTTTAATCTTTGGGAAGATGCTTGAAAATGTCATTTATCAGGGAACAATAATACGAATCCTGTAGAGTGGAGGCATGTAATTTTCAAAAGCTCTTTCCCCATTGTTAGATGATGCTGAACATTCATAAATGATTGAGAGATGATCGCTAAATCAACATAAGTGTAATTATGCTTTGTGTTTTTGCAGCATTTTTAGGCTACGAAAAGGAAGACGGGGCCTTATTAATTTGGAAAATATTTGATGTGACATCACACAAAAAAATGAAATAGTTATTCCCCATACTACCAGAAAATAAAATAATTTGCAAATTTGCAACTTTAAACTGTATAAGCATATTAAACTTCATTAAACCTTAACAATAAAATGCATTTACAAAATTTCCAGGTAAGTTCAATATAGCTGGTTAAAGAAATCACTGATCGCAAGAAACTTGTCGAAATGAGTTCATCTTGATAATGTGACGTATATCATGTGCTTTGAGCGGCAGATCAAGCATTTTTTCTACTATGGAAAAAGCTTTTTATCATTAACAGAATAAAATTTACAGACTTTAGATATGCTATTACAATATAAAATCTTTGATTAGTGCGATTACTTATTAATTATTTGGAGAATAATTTAATTAACTTTTCTCTGTTTAGTGTAACGATTTTGTGTCCAAGGGCATACACTGTACACATAATAGATCTTAACCATATTTTAATTTGGATAAAGGATTTAATCCTTGACATGAACATTGTGGCTGCTTTATGTAAATCCAGAGGGTTACTAAATGAGGACATAAAATATTCATCAAATGTCAAGCGTATTTTGATATTAGACCAATTTCATAAAATTTTGATTAATAAATTGCGAATTTTATTGAAAGCAATTTTTTTTCCCAAAAGATACAAGGAATGCAGAAAAGATTGATAACTTTTTTTGTTTTATCTAGGGTATACCCTTGTGATTGATTGATTAATTGTATATGGATTAACCTCCCTCTCGAGAATTTTTCACTCATATGGAGACGCCACCACTTGCCGGTTGAGGGCTACAAATTTTGTCCTATGCTCGGCACTAAGGGCCTTTGAGCAGTGAGGGACCCTTTTCGTGCCAGCACCTACTGCGACACGGGGCCTCGGTTTATACGGTCTCATCCGAAGGACCGGTGTCCACGTCCTGCAGTGTGATTCGAACCCACGACGTTAGGATTGATTCTTTACTTCTCGACTTTAGAGCAGACGCTCTAACCACTGCGCCACGCGGGCGACGTATACCGTTTTGAAATTGAAATTTGTACATGACCATTCAGTACAAATATTGTGCATTCATCATGTGTCTGTTCATGGACAGGTCCAAACTTGAATTTTACTATGTAATTTCGATAAGTATGTAAGTTATTTAAAAATAAAGGAGCTACATGTTATTAAAAATAAATACAGAAGTTTTAAAAAAAGTTCCCACCTGTTGTTCGTCTATATTCTACTGACCTTTCCTTGTAAGCTTTAAATTACAGTGCTGCTTTATCTCAATATATAATCTCAGGAGTAAAACAAAGATTTTATCTAATGAAAACAACTTGTTTTTTACTATAAGGCAAGATTTTATGTCCGACAACAAATTCTACATAATAATATCAGTTTAATCAACACATTTCCCAATAAACTTACACTCTTAGCGTAGTGAAGACGTTCCGCTGCCACACAACCACCAGAGCACATTGTTATAGTGAGTTTAAAGCCTGCTCAGATAGTTTGAAATGCTCTCCAAATATTTGAAAGTTTGAAGGGAAATTTTCCTCCCCGCTGACGGCTGCTTTATGGTTATTTTCAGTGTATACTTACTGGGGACAAACCTCATTGCCTGGCTCATGGAATTTGTTTCAGTTAAAATGCATTTAAATCTATATTTTTAATACTAAAGTGTTCTTAATCATTATCATTTTAGCACTATAAGAAAGGACTTTAAAAAAGGGCAAAACAAATTTATCTTGACTTTTCGTTAACTTCCTTTTTCTTTTCCTGAGAAAATTTAAAGTATAAGTGCGTTTATTTCAGGCAATTATTCACGTGATATCCTGTCATCGAATAAAATGTGAGGAAATTTACTTGACGTGTTATCATCTTCCATAACACAGAGACTTCCAAAGGAAAAAAAAAACATCCTCTAATATGCATCTGTAACTTCTGAGCAGTGCTGGTTGCATCAAAACATTCCAAAATTTCATCAAATTTATATTAAGGTGATGGAGATTTTCTATCTTAGTTTTAAATAATTTAATTTTGTTTCTATTCTATTCTCTCATTAGTTGATTTCCAAAAAGGAACGAAAACCATTTCTTGATAACCTAGTTTGGTATGGGGACACACCACTTGACAACTAGCTTATTCATCTGTATCTATGGAATCCCGACATTTCCAGTCCATGGGATTACATGGAAAATTTCAGATTTAATAAATGTACCTTTAACTGCCAACAGTAGCTCGCTCTCACCTCGCGTAAACAAACATCATGACTGCTTGATCTGTTTATCAGTTATTACGTCCCCTTGATTCAAATCACCTCCGTTACTAGGGATGTATTATTGAACAGGAAATTTGAACTCATAAAAAGCAGCAAAATTTTACACCCATAGTTGTTAATTCTCTAAACATTAAATAATAAGGAAGGACTCTAATTCTTGACCAAATTATTCGATTTTAACTTGATTTGGTTCAGTTTACGCTTTTTTTTAATACAATATGTGATTTGCTTCGCGGATTATAAAGCGTAATCTGACCCAAACCAGGTTAATATCGAATAATTTGGCCAAGAATTAGAGTTATATCTAAAATGTTCATTATTCTCAAGAAATGCTCCACATTTTTTTGACTTGCATTAAAAATTGAAAAAATATTCATGAATATATATATATTTTTAACGGGGAACTTCCATAAAATGCAAGTCGGCAATAACGCAAATCATACAAAATGTGGCTCAGCATGGATGTACAGTAAAAAACGGAGTACCAGTAATTATTTTCCACACGCAAAAGGGTTTGAGATTTAATGTTTTATAATAAATAAAATAAAGAAAAAAATAGAGAATATATCTATAGCTTAAGAACGTTCTTGGTAATTTTTTTAGACATGTTCACATGAAGACCGGTTTATATTAGATATTTACAGGATTACAATTCGACGGGTTGACATAATACTTAGTTGACAGGTGGATGGATTGATAGATACACAAGTTGACAGGTCGAGGGGTTGAAAGATACACAAGTTGACAGGTCCAAGGGTTGACAGATAGACAAGTTGACAGGCCCAGGGGTTGACATGTTGATGTATTGTTGTTTTTTTTTGGCAGGTTAGTGTTTTCAGTAAGACAGTTCGACGGAATGACAGGTTGTTTGATTGACAGGGGTTCATTATATCATACTATAGAAGAAAGTCGAAGGGTTTTCCATGTCGAAAGGGGACGATTCGACGGGGTAAAAGGTCGACAGATTGACCAGTTTACAGGTCGACGAATAGTAAAGTTGACCGTTGACAGTTTGGACTAACCCGTATGTCTTGTGTTAGTTGATGCAAAACGTAGCTTATTAATTCGAAAGAATGTTATGGTAGTTAAAATATTTCTAAGGGGTAGTTAACTGCCCATCTATCAACTTTTGTTTTGGGCTATCACAGAAATTGAATGGGTATTTGTTGTTGGGTAACTGATGACTTGTTGACCTTTGTTTGAAGTGAAAATAATATCATAATTTGGGGTCAACTGTCGATCTGTTGTCCTTGATTGTGAAAGGATTTACCAGTTTGATATCGAAATATTCACTTTTATTCAGTACAAGGTAATCTTTTTCTAAATTTTTCCAGTAACTCGCATGTTAAACCCAAATATTATGACGAAAACCATAACCCATTGAACAATAAGAAAATGATATCGTTTCGATATTTTGGAAATTGACAGTAAAGAAAACTTCTTAAAACAGAAGGTATAGGCTTTATATTATACACAAGAATAGGGATCTTTTGTATTAAAACCTATCAAATTAATCTTTCGATATTGTAGCATGTACCTCGTGTCTAGGACATATTATTATTTCAATGGATAAGAGTTACATGTAACAAGTTTGGTGTCACTTGTCAGTCTGTCGTTTTTTTTTTTACAAAGACTACATGGATAAATCTTAATTGTTACATTGTCATCCATTTAGGGGAAAACTCTACAATGCTCTCCTTTTTTTTCAGGGAGTCTAGCCTGTACGATATCCGTCCTTATTTTTAATTTGAACGAGGATAATTGGTTTTACTGATCTACTTTTTCGTTGAACGTGTACTTCCTTGTGCACCATTTGGAAAATTATGTAAAAAAAAACACTTATACTTATAATATCCCTGCTTTCTGATTCTTTATTTTGTAGGTCTGTCGTGTATCTTCCATTTTTTTTTGCTTTGATAAGACAGACACTATCTACCAGTCTTAAAATTGTAATTCCTGATATACTACTACATATTGTGTATACAGAAGCTTTAATTTTAAATAATTAAGTTACTATGTTAAAATGGAAAGAAACTAGAATTATCATAATGCTTATTGTACTTTCATTAAAAAAATTGGGAAGGGATACTATGGCATACAACGCGTGTTTAATGCTCAATATACATGTAACATTGTGAAACATTAAATTTTATTACTCTGAAATCACAAATTTTCGTGGGGGTTTAATTTTCATTGTTTTCGAGGTACGCCGAGACCCACGAATTCATGACCGCCACAAAATGTAAAATTTTACATACATAAGCATTAATTCTTGATCCACGCAATCAAATCCCCACGAACCAAGAGATTTTCCTCAAACCACGAAATTTTGACCCCACGAAAATATGTGATTTTACAGTATGCCCCAGCAATTACCTGCCTATTTTATAAAGATGAATAAAAATATATAGCGTTATTTGATTTAATTATCATTTCAAATATTTATAATACATTTACTATGAAAAAAATGTAAGACATTTGAAAAAAAAAAATCAGTACGGCGCATACGCATCACTTCTAATTTGACAAACACATATCGAAAAGTACTTGACTTAAGTTCAAACCATTAATTGATTTCTGTTGTCCCGGTTGTTTTAGAAATCATACCTTGAAAAATGTGCATGATTGACTTGCTAAAGAAACATTTTCTTGATTTCCAAACTTAATTTTTCATATCATAATTTAAAAAAAATGAAACATATTTTCTAATAAGAGAAAGACAACACATGACGATCTGAAATTCATAGTAAAAATATTCTAATTTACCGCAATAAGACCTGAAAACCGACTGCCGTATTTTTTATGGATTGTAACCTTTTATCATCGACATTCTGTAATTGTTTGAAAAGTGTATTTGTTTAAGACCATGCGAAAATTATGTTATATAATATTTATAAAGAACTACAGTAACTACAAGTTTCAATACTAAGATTTTAACATGTATCATGTTTTAATCAACCTTGCTATACATTTGTCAAAAACTTTTACTTTTGATTGTAGTAAAGTTATATTAGCAACATTTTCATTACTAGCATTATTATTATTATCAGCAACTTCGTTGTGACATTTACATTTGGATACTTTAAACATTAATGTCAATGATTATGTACACCTAAGTTTCAGCGAATCATTCTCTTAAATGAAAATTTACATTTAATCTGTAAACATGATTTCTTTGGATAGTGTTTTAATCTAGGAAAAAAGTCTACGAAGCAATCTTAGCGTCATTTTTCTTTTAACAATTTATACCGGTAAGTAAAATATTCTCATTCATATTTAACTGTATAAAGTATTTTATTTTGATTTAACTTTTCTTTATTCAAAATATCTCATTTAAGAAATAATTATGTCAGTTTTCTCAAAAACCACTTAAGTTTTTGTATCGTTTGGTTTGTGTTTAGTCGGAAGATGAATTTCTGTCCTCATTTAAGTTTGATTAAGTTTCGATTAGTCTTCGTCTGATAACATATTTTTAAAGCAATGTGATAGCCAGACTATGAAATCTAGATGTTCTATAATTAATACACACGTGGTTACCGCTACTCTATAGTTAGAGATATCCTCATCGGTATGTAACTGATTTTATGTTCGTTTTATATTATCAATACAATATCACTACTGAACTTCACGGAATTTCATGAGATTTATTTTTTTTTATTTTTCAATACTGAAAGTCAGTATTGAAATTATGTACGTCTAGTATCAATCGCTTTTATTTTTTTCTATATTTTGATCAGATCTAGAGCCCTAAGAATATAATTTTTGGTTTATTTATAACATGTTGTATAAATCATCAAAGTAAGTTATTACTTTCAGCCCCCTTTCTTCCAAAAATAAATAAATAAATAAAAATACATTCAAACTTGTCTTAGCGGCCACCCGAAATGAATGGCCACTCGCGATCAGCGGCCACTTTAACTTGCTAGGAAGATTTTACTATATATTTTAACTTGAATATACGGCCACTTGTGAAACGCGACCAGCAGCCACTCAAATCCTCACCCACAGAGTTATTTTTTTTTTTTTTAGTTTTATATACATTTATTTCCAATAACATACAACATATTTTGAGGTAAAACTTCCTCAGAAGCCCTCGGTTAATACCTCACCTGGGGTGCCAGGAGCTCCCTGGATCGGTATATTTTTCAATTTTCAATTTTCAATTTACAAAAGTTTACAATAGAGAAGAACTAATATTTCATTTTCACAAAAAGACATAAATATTTCAGTAAAAAAAAAAAAAAAGAAAAAAAAAATTCTATATTTAATAGCTATATAGATAAAATATCAATTTAATTACAACGTATAAAGATTATAATTCGTCTGCTAACTTTTTCAAAAGATAGTAGTTACATTTAACACTTTTTGCACTCTTTGCTATAACATAATACTGATATAAAGACGATTTCAAAAAAAAATAACATTGCATTTTGATTTACTATTTCGTTTTGCAACCTACATTTCATTTTATATTTATATATTTTGTATCCCACAATTGATATGACATTATTGACACTGAAAAAGGCGGCCATTTCTTCACTAGTTGCTATTCTATCATATCTTTTAAACGCATTCATTTTGGGTCATTATATCCTCAGTAGTAAATCTAAACTATTACCTTGTAAAGTACACAAATTAATTCAACATACACCGAACTACAATGAAATTCAAGACAAATGTAAGTTTTGGTAAATAATCCTTTAGTACATATTGTTGCTTGGATTACTGAGTAACTGAGTTGATATATATCATATTACTTTTCCAAAGTAAATATTAGATAGGCTTTTTTTACTTGTAGCCATTTTGTTATGCACGCAAAATCGCTGTATTGTTACTCTAAATGTCTCAGATACATATCAAAAATATCAATTCATGTATAAGAAGAATTTATTAAATTGATTCTTTAGCTTTACTATGATTTTTTTTTCATTTTTGTTCCACAGTTTTCAAGACTAAACTAAACAGTAGCCTACTACTTGGGCTGACAAAAGCAAGACAATTTTTAACCCAATAAAAGAATAAAAGATTAGATAATGATAACCTTTCATAAAAGAACCGAATCATATCACAAAGATACATCAGCACAAATATTATAATAAAAAAAATCTGGTCGTGTACTCGGCATATATTTTTTATTCTAAATGACGACCAGTTCCATTGAAACGTAGGAAGTTCTCGCATAAAAATTTTACCGGTAGGTCTCATTATCACCGTATACAACAGGTAACGCGCGGTATTCCCACATATCTTCTGACTCCGAAGCGGTGAAAATCGACTCTCCCATACGTTAAAAACGAATCCCCCTTACTTTTAGCGACTCCCCCGCGTTACCCGTTGTATACGCTGATTATCATCTATGCAACCAAGGCGCATGTGGACGTAATCATAGTTTGCAGTTCAGTGTAAAGTTTCATGCAACGCCACGATCTTTTTGTCAGATGCAACAAGGGTAAATAATTCACTTGATTGGTCAACGCATTATCAACATCAAAGAAAAAAATATGTTGCACGAGCAACCAATCAGGGATAAAAGGAACGTTCCAGTCGTAAAGTATGCGGTTTGGTGGCGTGTCGAATTATCTTGAGTGTAACTGTCAGCTAGATCGTGACGTAACGTGAAAATTTACACTGAACTGCAAACTATTATATATTGGAAAAAAAAAGAAACTTGTGATGACTTAACTGAAAAATAAAATGCAAAAGAAATGGTTGAAAGGGAAAGCTAAATCAGTATTATTTCTTTAAAAGACATGATTTTTAAAGTAAGAAAATAAAGAAAGAGGAATAAACTGTATAAAATTCACTGAGTGCCTTTGATATTTCAGTGAATAAAATTTTACAATTAATCATTTATACAACTTATTATTTAACATCTTAATATTTCCCCCAAAAAATCAAACATTGAATATTTTGTGTCCTGTTATTTAATTTTAATATTTGACATTCATTTTAAGGTTTAACAAAATATGCATGTTTAAGGTTCAAAATGAAAAAAACAACGTTATGAATTAAATTACGTCAATCTGACTTAATGTCAATGTGTACCAACACCGTGAGCTACGTCCCGTGTCTATTTTTATTCTTTTGTTTTATCGTTTTTTCATTAGCCGATCATCTATTGTATTTTTTTTTCGATCTGGCTGACCAAAAAGAGTTTAAACATTTTTCGTTCTTGCTTTTTCCTTAATCTTGACGTAAAATGATCGTTCACGGTAGCTCATTAGGTAGAGCACTCGATCCGTGATCTGGAGGTCGTGAGTAATCACGGCCCCGACTGACCTAAGTGAAAGTTGCGGGTCCTTCGGATGAGACCTTAAAAACCGAGGGCTCATGTCAGCGGCAGGCGTTGGAACGATAAAGATCCATCACTGCTCAATGGCCCTGAGTGCCAAATAAAGGTCAAAATTTCAAGCCCTTCACCGACAGAAGGGACGTCTCTATATGAGTGAAAATTTTTCGAGAAGGATGTTAAACAATATACAATCAATCAATCAGTCGACGCAAAATGTAACAACGGAAAATGTAATAATCCAAAATTCGCGTTATTACATTTTCATTATTACATTTAGCGTTGATCTAGACGCAAAATATAATATTGCAAAATGTAATAATCTTAAGGAGTGTGTTATTACATTTTCCTTTATTTCATCATGCATTAATTTCGAAGCGAAATGTAATTACACCAAATTTTATAATCCATGTTTACTACATTTCGTGTTATAAATACATTTTGCGTTGTACCTTTCATATCTAGCATTTTAGTTATTCAATTTAATTAAGCAATGCATTTAAGTTATGAAGATTCATCAGGACATGAACTACGACGCTTCACACTGGTCAGCATATTTCATAAAAGGTGTAGGCGCTTCATGATATATACGCCGGCGTAAAGTGTTGTAGTTCAAGCAACTTATGAACGTTCAAAACTTAAATTCATTTCTTACATTTACATTATTTTTCTGATGAGTTACCAAAATTTACGCCATTCAAATGTCAATTCTAATGCAAAAGATATTGCACTATAGTTTTGATGTCAAGTAAAATATAATGGCGTAACAATAGAGATAAATATCATCATCCATGGTAGTTAAGATATAATGAATAAAAATCTAATTTTTAAAGAATTAAAAAAAAAAAATAGATGAATTTGTAAGTACTACATAATTATAAAGAGAAAGAAAAGGAAGAAGCAAACAAATTTAACTTTCTTTCTTAAAGTCCAAAATGATTTCAATTTATTAATTTGTATCTATTTACTACATAAATTGTTGTAGATGAAAAATGGATGTAAAATTCAGTCCCATGACTGCTTGTCCTAAGGATGGTCTCACTTGGATAAGCAACAGCGTTAAGTTACGGTGTCCTAATGATACACTAGGTAGAAACCTCTACCAGTGTGTACCTAATGATGACAGATCTTCACTTGTGGAATTTTGTCTTCAAGGGAGTATTGGCAGATATGGAGCAGGTGAGTCAATGTTAATTGTAAAACAATAATATCCGAATCATATATTATTTTTCTTTTGATTATAACTAGACAATTTCTTTACGTTATGGAAATAACAACAATTGATAAAATAAGATATATATTCTAACGTTTATGTTGGAGTTTCGATGCGAACTTTGTGAGCCCACATGTCTTTTTTTCTAGGACGCGTTATTTAAAATGATTAAACATAACTGAGACGCTTCCTGTTTGATACTACATTTTACTCGAAATTAACTTAAGATATACTGAGCACCGATTATCAGTTAACAATAATTTATGCCCCTAGGAACCCCTTGTAATGTTCACCGTGAGGGAAGGGAGAAATTTAATTATACAGTGTTAAATAAATTTTAGTTTTTCTCATAATAAGTATATGTGACTGTTTAAGTTAAGAGAATGATAATTTTTATCAGATTTATTTTCATTATCATTTTGAGTATTTTTTCATCATGTCTTTAGATACTTGCCCTTTTGCTGTATCTTCGGGACTCCTAGACGCCATCAACTGCTCCACTTTTGTAAAAGGTTGTCCAAAAGAACCGTACTTAACCAATGAAGTTTACAAATGTAAGAACTACTCTTTTTCGGATGGAAGCGAAACCTAAGTGGTGAAGGGCTGTAATTAAAACATTATTCGAAATAATGTGTATCATTGTTGTTTCAGATCAAGCCTGCCTTGGAAATAAATCCACAGAAACGCTGCTATTTGGCAAATGAAAACTGTTTAAACAAAACGTAAGTGAATCTTAAGTTTGTACTCTGTTTCGTCCTCTCCTTAGATATTACGACGGATTGAATCAAATTGTTATGTTACTGAATGATTTTGTTTTGAGATACCAAATTCCGCAACTTACAATCTCATGACTGACTCCTCAGCATATACTCTGTCCACAGACAGCTTCAATCTCACCTCGTTGCCACCAAACAGTACTTCTTATTTGCAGACGGGGATTTCCTTATTGATCGCATTAGTGGTTATTTTCGTGATTTTCTTCTTTTTTTATCCGAAAAAAAGTTGTCTGTCTTGGAGCACAAGTGAGTTAATTTTATGTTTACATGTACATAATTCATATCCTTCTTTTTCTGTATCATAACAAATGCTACATGTAGTAGTCTGTCTATCTACATTTTTATGCAAAGCAAATTAAAACAACAAACATTTCTGCCGAACGCACATTAATCTCAATAAAATCAGACTACACGTTCTTAAATATATATAAATTTTCCCAAGAATTTGTTATTGAAGTGTATATATTTAACAAGTTTCCTCACTTAAAATTTACATCATGCCTTACCAGGCATTTCGACAAGACATCACAGGGTCATATTTTCTATATAACCCTTGTGGGAATTTTTTGAATGAACTATATCAAAATTTTTGGTGTACTTATGTTTTAAAACATTAAAAAAACACTGTAGAAATCAAAAGAGATTGTCAAATGTGAATATTTTTATATGATACCAAGAGATACAAAACATATATTTGAGAAACATGTCGTCTGACCTTTAGTTCGATGCATTTATTCACACATATTTTTGAACATTTCTAAAACTTATTCTAACACTAGAATGTATTACCCTGGAACTTTTCTTATCCTTCTTTACACAAATTGAATATGATTATGAATTGCTCAACACAGGTCTGAAGACACCCGGAAATCTTTGAATACAAGTCATCAACTCAAAGTAGAGTGTGATGATAAATATAAGGCGCGGCATACGTTTTTGTGTAATTTAGTGCACATGTTAAGACATCTAGGCAAAGAAAATGCTTTGTGATAAAGAATAGATCTTCATAAAAACGGTCATATAGTTACGTATAAAATAAGAACTCCAAAGGATGCGCCTCCTAATTCTATACATATTTATTGATAATACTATAGTAAATTGAAAGAAACACAAAATAGTGTTGTTTTTGTTTTTGTTTTTGTTTTTTTTTTTTGCAATTTTCACTTCATGCATCTACGTTTGATCTAGGGTTTACTTTAATGTCGTGAAAACAACCTTACACAGAGACATTACATATAGGTTATATCTCACACGTGTTTTACATTTCCATTTATGAATCACAAACCTTTTGCGTGTAAAAAAAATTCACATTGTGAAATAAAAAGAGTGAGCAAGAATGTTCGTTACAAATGCAAAAATGAGTTACCCCTGGTCAGCAAATATCAGGGCTTTTTATCAATGTGTCACAAAATCTAGTGTGTCGACGAATGTCCCCTCCTTCGCCTTCCCTATACTTCAACCTCCTCTTCAAAATAATTTATTTCATAGGTAACAAATCTTTAAAGATTTTTTTTCTTACATTATTTAATAAGAATATTGCTACATGTAACCATAGAATTATATAAAGATTTAAGATACCTCTCGCATTTCCTTGGTCACACCTAACGGTTTTTAAAACATGCTCGATCGAGGGACGGGTTACTGTATTTCTAAACGATAGTACAATATTAATTATTTTATTTCATATAGTTACAAGTTTTGTTTAAATAAAAGCAAATCATAAGAAGCCTTTCAAAAAATCCTAAATACACGATGAAAACAACAGCATCTTGTACTCGTAGTTTTCATTTCTAAATAATAGTCTTCAGTTTCACCTATTATGTATTCTGTAAAAGTCACGAGTAAATTTGTCTGGATAATGACAAGATATTTAGATCCTTAACATGCAGGGGATTACATAGCATGTTAATTCTTTAGCAGTTAAATCAACAGAGAAGAACATTATCCGTATACAAAGACAAGACAGGAACGAGGAAGAGGTTCAAATGTGTGACATCGATAATGAACTTGATCCCATACGTACGTATGCAATTAATGTTACAATTAAATTTTAAAATATTTTTTATCCGTATCATATATTTATATATCCATTTTTTCCACCCTCAAAAATATTAATCAATGTTGAAAATAATTTTTGAATTGTCTTCATATGTATTAATACATTACGATTTTCATGTCAGGCATTCACATTGTATGGAGAGCTACCGTTGCATTTAGCAAAAGCATCGCACAAAAAGGAATAAATTTTACCTCTGCTTGTTTTAAGAAACTGAGAAGAAGCAAAAAACATCCGTCAAGATTGAAAATGAATCAGTGAAAAGGGAACATGGTTCAAAAGAATATGATCTTAATTGTGAACCAGAAATGACAGAGAGGACTGTTATTGAAGAATGTACTAGTATGTTTCCATTAAATTGTTTTACAACACGTATTACATGGAAGAGAGAGAACAATAAAATATTATGACATGTAATAACTAGAAAAGAAGGTGTTACGAGGCTATCAAATATTTTGATTCTAGTAATTTTGTAGCAAATTTAATACTTATTATAATCATGGCTTAGATAAGATGAAAACCTCTCGTTGAATTGTATTGCGACTGATAAATTTTATTTGCAATGTTTAGATGCCTTTTTTAGCTCACCTGAGCTGAAGGCTCAAGTGAGCTTTTCTGATCAAAATTTGTCCGTTGTCTGTCGTTGTTGTCGTTGTTGGCGTTGTTGTCGTCGTTGTCGTCGTCGTCGTAAACTTTTCACATTTTCATCTTCTTCTCAAGAACCACTGGGCCAATTTCAACCAAACTTGGCACAAAGTATCCTTGGGTGAAGGGGATTCAAGTTTGTTCAAATGAAGGGCCACACCCTTTTCCAAGGGGATATAATCATGAATTTATTAAGAATTAATGGCATTTTTAAAAAATCTTCTTCTCCAGAACCGCTGGGCCAGGAAAAATGAAACTCATGTGGAAGCATCCTCAGGTAGTGTAGATTCAAGTTTGTTCAAATCATGACCCCCGGGGCAAGGGTGGGGCCAAAATGGCGGACCCAAGTTTTACATAGGAATATATAGGAAAAATCATTAAAAATCTTCTTCTCAAGAACCACTGGGCCAGGAAAAATGAAACTCATGTGGAATCATCCTCAGGTAGTGTAGATTCAAGTTTGTTCAAATCATGACCCCCGGGGCAAGGGTGGCGCCAAAATGGCCGACCCTAGTTTTACATAGGAATATATAGGGAAAATCTTTAAAAAATCTTCTTCTCCAGAACCACTGAGCCAGGGAAGATGAAACTCATGTGGAATCATCCTCAGATAGTGTAGATTCAAGTTTGTTCAAATCATGACCCCCGGGGCAAGGGTGGGGCCAAAATGGCCGACCCAAGTTTTACATTGGAATATATAGGAAAAATCTTTTAAAATCTTCTCCAGAACCACTGAGCCAGGAAAGATGAAACTCAAGTGGAATCATCCCCAGGTAGTGTAGATTCAAGTTGTTCAAATCATGACCCCTGGGGCAAGGATGGGACCAAAATGGCCGACCCGAGTTTTACATAGGAATATATAGGAAATATCTTTAAAAATCCTTCTCCAGAACCACTGAGCCAGGAAAGATGAAACTCATGTAGAATCATCCTCAGGTAGTGTTGATTCAAGTTTGTTCAAATCATGACCCCCGGGGCAAGGATGGGGCCAAAATGGCCGACCCAAGTTTTACATAGGGATATATAGAGAAACCTTTTAAAATCTTCTTTTCAAGTACTTCAAAGCCATGATTAGTGATATTTATATGGAATCATCCTCAGGTAAGGTAGATTCTAGTTTGTTCAAATGATGAACGCCTGGAGGGGGGGGGGGGTAAATTCAAGCCCGATGTGCTCAGGTGAGCAATGTGGCCCCTGGGCCTCTTGTTACTATTACGCGTGTTATTCATCATCCTTGCACTATAGATTTCAAACATGGTAAATGTTGAGATGTGAAGCAAAAAATTGATGGGTAAATGATTTTTGCATCTCTACATAAATGTTGCTTGTTTAACTTGATAAATGCCTAAAGATGAATTAAGAATTCATATAAGCTTTAATTTTATATCTTACACACTCAGGAAAAAAAAACTTTGAAAAAGCTTTAACATCTTTTAAAACAAAAGATACATTCTTTACTTCTAAAACTTTTTTTCTTTATTTAACAATAATGATGAAAACACGATTTGGCAACACATCATGAATGCTGAACATTGGTGTGATTGAGAGTTTTTTTTAGGTACTGGAATGTTCAATGATTGATAATGACTAAAACTAGCATGATTGAAAAAAGTACCTTTCTTGGGGAGGAGGGGTATTTTAATACGCAAACCCTTGTTTGCTCATTTATATGAAAAGTAAATTTAAACAACAAACATTTCTACAGGACGTGGATCTCAATAATATCAGACGACAAGTTCCTAAAAAAATATAAATGTATAAACTTGCCAAAAAATTTGTCATTGAAGAATAGATACATATTACTTAAAAAAGTTTCCTCACATCAAATTAGGATACCTAACCAGACATTTGGACAAGATATATTAAATAGTGTAAATTTGTCTGAAAATGACAAGATGTTTAGATCATGACATACAGGGGATTTAATACAGTACCGACCGGACACAACCTAACACCAGAGCAAACCCGGAGCCGACCCCGGGTTCGCTCGGGGTCCGCTTCGGGTTCGCTTTCAGAAATTTTGGGATCGCTCCGGGTGCGCTTTGGGTGCGCTCTGGGTTCGCTCCGCGTTCGCTCGGGGTCAGCTCTAGGTCCGCTAGAGCGAACCCGGCGTTCGCTTCCTGGGACCGCTTTACGCACTGATGCGTGAAACGAACCCCGCTTTAATCTCACCGCCAGTATGCCCCGCCCCTTGTATATTCCAATACAGTAATGGTATTGTGGATCGATCATTGTTGTTTATGCGACGATGCGGACACGTACACTGACAAGTAAACAGTGATATAATGGAGAAATTTGCTAAAATCCAACTGTAAATTCGACATAGATTTACATGATTTCCTTGATTTCTTGATCCCGAGAAGTTCAAACTAATTAAACAGCGGGTTATAAGGCATTTATTTTTCTTAAGTTATTACGATAAAACAAAAAGAAGAGAAAGAAAAGAGTGTTGAATTGATTTTCAGTATATCGAATGGTGAAACTGACGAAAGAAATCTAAACTAAATACCTTTTCAGTTCATGATTTATATAGTTTTAACCTACATTTGTTATTCCTTACGTTTTGCTAAATCGTAGTTTCAATGTTTGCTTAACACGTGATTTATGAAATTGCATCTATAAATTACATGTAACCTTTTGTACATCTGATATATTTAGATTTCGTTCATAGTAGTTACATATTAAAAGTTCATAATAAATATTTTATCGGACATTTTCTAAAAAAATTACACTGTTTATTAGATCTTTTTCACGGTCAAAATTTTGGAGCGAGTATGATTTTTATCAGAACAAAGGTAGAAGGCAAATAATAATTGTTCTCCCGACCGGATAAAAATATATAATAATATATGCCCCCTATTTCACACACACATTGTCTTTCAAAAAATCTAATTACTTAATTATTTTATTTATAATTTCTCAATTTACGTGTTACATTAAATTATTCAAAATTAACATCAAAATTATTGATCTTCTTTATCTTCTTGGGCATGAAAAAAATGCGTGTATATGAAAATCTTCCTTCTGGATGCACAGATTGAAGTCATTCCGCCCTAATGGTATTGACAAACTGAATGACTTCACCAGAATGAACGTGAATTAGACCCAATTCCTGATGATACTTAACAAGATTATTCTTTCAATTTAGTGTAACTCAGTTATTTTGCGTTACCAACTCTCGAATTACCCACATAACTATGTATTGCTTACGTCTTTATTAATTATTCTTTCCCAATATTTAGTCCTAAAACATTTTAAAATTTATAATAGATCATATTTCATATGTTAAAATATCCCTTCTATATTATATTTCTCTGGTTATTCTTTGTCAAGTTATAGCTACGCCATTTTGAGAGAATGAAACAATGTACGATTTACTAAATGTCGTGATTAATTAGCGTAATTAATTCATTCAATTATGTAAATCGCACTTCACCTGATTATACCCCGATAAACCAGACGTATTTCATAGCCGTCCGGATTTCTTTCTTTAGCAGTGTTTATATAAATTTCCGATTCAACATGTAACTATGTAAATATATAGTGTTTAGTAGTTTACTCTCTCTCTCTCTCTCTCTCTCTCTCTCTCTCTCTCTCTCT